CTCCAATTTCCCCTCTCCCAGAGGCTAAGCTGAAGACAGAATAGCTTCATTTACAATAATAACAGAAAAATTTATCAATTTTTTTGCTCTCTTCTTCTTTGAAACTGTTGGCAATTACAGAATTTCTTTTTCCTCATACCATGTCCAAGGCTTTGTACAACAGCATGACAAAAAACAAACATGCAACAACACTGAAGACCTCCACGAAATGTCATACAAATGACAGCCAGGTCACTCATTTACGGGTGCTTTCCATTTTGCCAAAAATTCCAGAAAGGGCTATTCTTGTTCAGTCTGACTAGAATATCGATAAAATCTCTTGCATGGTTGGGTAGGAGTGTCCGGCCCACTTCCCAAAACCCTTACCCTATTTATGACCAAAATCTGCGATTTTTGCTACCCTATTTATGACCTGGCCAAAAATTCAATACCCCATTTATGACCTTTGTAGCTGGCACAGTTGCTTTAAATATAAGCTATGAAGGGCTTTTGCTGACGGTCTTATTGATAATGATGAAAAAGTAGCTTCTTCTAAGAAACATACCCAATTCAAGACTAGAGTGCTTAAACTATACTCTATTTATGATCAAAATGACTGAAAAACCCCACCCTTTGGGGCCTCACATACCTATATAGCCCGTATACGGGAGTACCCCCTCCCCCCTCCCTGTATCAACAGGGAACTTAAGCACTGACAACGGCGATGCCAGGGACGACCCCCAGTAAAAAATAGATTGATATTTTACCCTCGAATTTCTTAACTATCTGAAGCTGTTCAGTGGGCAAATCTGTCTAAAAACCTGCTCAAACTAAATATGTAATGTCAGTGATCAATTCCAAAAGGAAGTGCGAAATATTTGCCATCGTGGCCCACTTTCTCCAAAATGCGCTGAACTTGGTTATTCCACGTTGTTAATTTGCAGAGGACGGCTATGAAATGTACAAAGATTTATAATGCACGTGCACAGCTACTGTTCTGCTCATTAAATCTTTTGTTTGCCGACGTTCCCTTTGCCGTTGCCGTCGTCGTTTGCTTAAGTTCCCTTGTAACAAAGTGGTGGATGAGGGTAATTTGCAAAGATCTTTTGAGTGTACTGGGCTGTCAGACACCCAACTTGATTTGCACTCTTGTTGACCTGGAAGAACTTGAAAACCAAGCGAAGCCATGACAAGTTAGGAAGACAAGGATACCTTGGGGTCACTTGAATTCGTTGACCTCTTGGTCCTCTTGGACTCCACTCTAATTATTCAAAAGAATATGGACGCTGTACTCACCATCATCCTTGCGTGGTATGGGTACTAACACCCTCTCAACGTACAACCGCCAATTTTATGTACGTCTTCATTAGAAACAGCAATAACTCACGGAAAGCATGCTGGAACAGTTACATGAAAAAACATGGCTGACTTAAAGTAGTTTTCAGACTTCTCTCGGTCATCCACAGCAAGAGCGCGCGCATTGAAAACGCGCGCAAAAAATAATTTCGCGCGCTACTTTTGATTTTGTATGTTAGAATGATTAGAACAATACTGCCTTTTGGATGATGAATATTCTGTAAAATTTTTCTTTATCTCGCAATCTGACTCAAGCTTCATCTCAAGTTCAACAAGAGGGTCCTGAAGGTGGGGAGGAGGAGGGGGGTACCAATGCCCTTTCCCAGCCCATATTTTCTCAAATCCCACTTCCCAGTGCTCAAATCCAAATTCCCGCAAGCAAAAATTCAGGAAAAATCCCAGTGTTATGCTACCAGCTCTTTTCTCTTCACATCTGCAAAATTATGGCTTCTAAATACGACCCGACAAGGACCCAAAAATTCACAAGGATTTGCGAAGACGTTTTGAAGACGATAGGTTCCTTTTAGACTGTACGAAAACGTGCAAGTAGGGAAGTTATCGGTTACCGGTTCCTGACACTTCACATTGCTGTCATTCCTGCCTGCAGGAAATCTGTCATCCGACTTGTAAGTCTCCTTATTCTTCCGAGCCTGGTCGGATGGATCATGTTCAGTGTTATTTCAAGAGCGCTGTCTACGTACCCCTTCTTCAGAGTCGCTGTCACTGTCACTCACACTAAAGTTGCCTACCTGTTCGTTAGGAGACTCTGATGGTAAACTGGTATCCTCATTTAAATCAGCCAGCTCATTACTTTCGCATGGAACTCTCTACGGCGTACAGTGAATTCAATTTGACTGGTTTCAAGACCGTTTCAGTTTCATAAAAGTTCAGAGGTTCAGTGCCATCCCTGTGTATGTGTTATCTTGTCTTCATTTAGTTGTCTGATGGATCCTTGTATAAGCATATAGGCCCTCATTTCAGCTTGCTCGTTTCTAGTTATCTCCTGTGAGGTGAGCTTTGAAAAATGATACGAGGAAAGGAAACTGTATGTGATGTTGGTAGTTTGTAATATGAATTTGGAATGCCGCCCAATAAGAAACCCTTTTTATAGTTTTTTTCAACTGATGTGCCAAACATCACCACACACTCACGCAATAAATGTGCTACGGCATCCGGGCATTACTCCCTATAATGGCCTATACGGGGAGGCTCAGCCCAAAAGGTGCATCCTTTTTAGGCTTCAGGTATATGAAAGATAAGGTTTTCACAAGTTGAGGTTTTTCAAAAGGGAGGGACATCTATCATTTAGTTATTTTAAAAGGCCTTAAATTAAAATATTTTGAACAGACACACCTTTAATGGCAAAACATGAAAATGACAAGAAGACCTTCTTTTGTTTTCTTCCTTTTTTCTTTTTATTCACAATACGGGCCAGGAAACTGGGTACCTTTTTTTAACTAAAGGTGTAAGAAAGGGGTACCCTTTCTCTCAAAATGGTGTACGAAAAGGTAAGGGGTTGGACCTCGGGGCGGAGTCTCACAGGTGCCTTCGGGGAATCCTATCTACCGCTGCCATGGCAACGCAAGAGGCTTGCTCTACTTGATTGTGACTTGAGCCCCGATTCCTTCCCGCCACAGCTGTCACGTGACTGGCCTAAAGGGCGGTTCATCTGGTTTACCGCGGACAGACAATGCCGTATATTTGTTAACTTCATTGATCACATGAAACTTGTCATAACTCAGCCTGGAGGCGATATAGAGAAGGCTTTTAAACAATACAGCAAGCTTCTGTCGGCCATAGAAGGATGTCTAACACGAAAAGGAAATAAGTTCATGTGGAGCTCAAAATACGGATTTTTGACGAGTTCATCGCATGATGTTGGTACAGGACTTGAAGTGCAAGTTAAGGCTCGAGTATCAAAGGCTTATAAAGGTGAAAACTATGTACAACAAACTATGGACTACAAAGCCCAACCTCGCTCCCAAGGTGATCTACTCCAGTATTCGAAAGGAGAGCAAGCGCCTTTCTTGGTAGAAAGTCTTCGCAACATAATCTTGTGCGCTATCAAGGTGATGTAGAGTGAGCAGGGTCCGCCCTAAACATCTCCACTGACAAATCGCGTGATCAGCTTCAGGACTATAAAGTTTTTAACAGAACTAGAGTGTGATAGTGCACTAGCTTTAAATTACGTACTTCTGTTTCTCAAGGATCCGAGGTTTGAAGGAATAATAGATGTGTTGCCAATCAAGATAGAACTTGCAGGTGAGACTGAGATTAAGCGGTAAATGACGAAAAGTAAATGAGATGGGATAGATCCATGATGATGTTTCTTAATTTTCGCTTGTTCATCTTGTACTAAGATAAAGCCACCACTGTTTAAGAATCGGAAAAAAACTTAACAAAGTGTGAATATTGTCCTTGAAAAGCCGCTGATATTTGAGAATCAGATGAGAAACAAATCCGTTTTGCCTTTACAAAGTTTGAATATTACCAAGAAGTTAGGAACTTACTATTTGCGGTCGGTTTTCATAGAAACTCTGTGTTACAAACTCGGAGTTTTGCAACCCTTTGACATGGCGGAAAAAGCAAGCGCTCTTTCGTGCGCTTCACTAAGACGACCATCCTTTCGGTATTTTAATTCTCCAGTAATACCACTAACACTCAAACATTTGATAAATTACTTCATAACATTGTCAAAGTTTACTGCGGAACCACTCGCCCGCGGCTCGTGGTTCCACAGCCACTTTGACAATGTTATGACGCAATTTATCATTAATAAGAGGACAGACGCATAAAAAACTGACGTCAATTTGTTCATATAGGAACACGATTTTTAACCAATCAGCGCGCGTTTTCTTCTTAGGGCTGTTTTCTAATATGAAATATAAGATCTTGTAGAAAATAGGAATTTTAACTGAAACAAAGACCGAATGATTTCACAAAGAAAGAACGGAATCGCGGCATATGCAATAATGCAAGTGAATACCGTATTTACTCGAATAAGCGCCGTGGCGCTTATTTAATTTTTCGTGTCTCCGGTGCGGCGCTTTTTCGAGGGCGACGCTAATTTAAAACGCTCATACCACAAAGACAAAACTACTTCATGAGTAATTTTCATGGCTTACAGGCTTGAAGCTAACCTAAGTTTTAGCTCTCATAACAGCCTCGTGAATACTTTTCTGTAGGTTTTCAACAACGCTTCACTCGATGTCAATGGCCTGACTGTTGCTGAAAGTTCACAAGATCTAACACAGGATGCACTTTATCTTAGTCTGTGCATTTAAAAGTAGTTCAGTTTCCTTCAAGCACTTTTACTAACACAACAAACAATACTCGAATAAGCGCCGCACCGCACCTGCGGCGCTTATTAACTTTTCCACCCCCATGTGCGGCGCTTATTCGAGTAAATACGGTAAATGAAAGACTACATTTGAACTGCGGAGATAGATATAAATATATGATTGATCATTTACAATGTGACCAGGGGCCCGTTTCTCGAAAGCCCCGGAAACTTTTCGGGCCCGTAAAGCCATTTTTAGTTCATCTGTATCAAAAACAGAGAAGTGTATATGCCTGAAACTTCTTGTATGAAGGGAACCTGTGTTCATATTAGGAATATGTGAATAAAACAGCTCTGTAATCATAAGGTTCGAGATTTTTCTATGGCTTTCTGTGTGCGAAAACTATTCGGGACCTTCGAGAAACGGGCCCCAGCTCCCAGTTGGCTTGATAGCTCAGTTGGTAGAGCACTGCACCGATACCGCAGTGGTCATGGGTTCGAATTCCGTTCAGGTCTGAATTTTTTTTAGGCTTTAATTTCACAACTGCTTAAGTTGTGTGTATAACGGCGATGATCAGTCATATCTTTATACAATAATGTTACATTAACTCAGTTACCAAACAAAAAACGACCGATAAACCATTACCCACGTGTCAGTAAATATCATGATAAGGAAGAGATATCATGACAAGACATACAACAAGACATTTCTAAGGATTAAACCTGACATTGTGGAAGTTTTCTTATTATCTTTTTCACAACTGATCACCTCAAGGTCATCACCATCATAATCAGCATCATCATCATCATCATCATCATCGTCGTCGTCATCATCTTTATTGCGTTAGTAAAGCCAAGTGAAGTATCGCACTACATCATGAATCAGCAGAAAATGAAGTTTGCGAGTGTTTTATTTGTTTAATTTCCCGTTCAAACATTTTAATTTGGAGTAACTTTGTATGATAATTGCCCACCTGTTTCCCAAGCATCTAACAATCTTATTTCTATTCAACTTACTTTACGGCTGGCCGTAAGTATTTGAAGTCGTCCCTTTCTTCATCCCTTAAACTCTCTCAACCACTCAAAAAAGTAACAAAACACAAAGAACAAACAAAACTGAATAATTTCAGTTAATGGTTATGCACTCAGAAATGAACGTGCAGAAAACGAAATTTGCCTTCGACGCAATCTTTGCGAGATTATGTTAGAGTAACTAAATGAAACCCATTTCCAGGGCATTCGTTTACCTAGTTATTTTTGCGGGTTTTTTTTTTTTTTTTGTAAAAAGAAATACCTTAGTCAACGGGTCTTGGCTATGTTACGAGCGGATGAGTGGATGAGTGAGTAAGACATGTATGTACGTCACACCAATACGATTGGGGCTACTAAAAACAAGTAATCAAATTGCCGCTTGTAAAGGTGAATCATGTGTGTGAAGATTTCGTCCCGATTTTAGAATGGCCATCTTTGTTTTTCTACAGACAGAAACAGGTATTCTTGTATTGGCTTTATTCTGACGTTTCCGATGCTGCGTTTACTATAGTTAGGCCCAGTACTTTGTGGATCAGTTTCAAAAGAGTTCAGAATTCGACAATCAGCCGATGAATCATAGTCCCTGGAATACACTAACATGTCATCGAGGCTTTGCTTTTCGCATTAAAAGAAATTTCGAAATTTCGAAATTTCGCTCAACAACTTGGTCATTTCTAGGACAGGAACGATTGTTTTCAAAATGCACTGTTGGGATGGTGAGATGGCTTTCGTCCGTGATGGTATTCGCCAGGTTCCCATCGATATCATTTGCATTATGTGCAGTTCACGTAAAAAAAAGTCAAGTCCAATTGATGTTTGTGCAAAATGTTTCAGTTCCTGAATGCGTCTCAATTAAGTAGCGCTGTTCACGGAGTAATACTGTCTTCTCGTTAAAACGTTTCTTGGAATCGATACCGAGATACTCATTTGAAGTGGTTTTCTCTGTCAAAACCAAAGAAATTACGCACGGCTAGTTATGAATTAGAACAATGCTGAGTTTTGAAATTTGTTTTTGTTGGAGGTATATGTAATAAGACATTTTCATTTGTTAGTTTCAAATTGTTTTTCACGCACGAGTGGTTGCAATTAATCTTGTTCACACGGTCAGAATAAACAAACAAGTAGCCAATCTAGCAGCATGTCCAGAAACTTTACCTTGATGTAAATGTTTGGACGTCTTTTTTTTTTTTTGTAATGTCTTCAGCGCCATTCTAATATCTTTCATTACTGGCAATTCTTAGAAACGGAAATTTTTAACCGAGGTCTTGGTTTGTAACAGGTAAACTCTTCAAATATCCTTGAAGACTTCATGGTTAAACCGCAAATAAATTTGATCAGACTTTGAGGCTTCACAGTGGTTCGCTCGATTTGAAACAGATTCCTTGCGCGATTCAAAAAGGTTAACTTACGTCACTCATGAAGTAACAAAACTTTTTCTGTAACTGACTTTTTGTCACCAAAAAGGCTCTCAGACGTTCAAGGAAACTTCCAAACTCTGCAGATTTTATGGCGTCTAACAAAACTCATGCTGTTTTTCATGAGTCTGATTGTTTTAAGTCTCAAGTTAGGTAACGCTGTTTACGTTCCATAATGTCTTCTCGTTTAAATGGGTTTTGAAATCGATATTAATTTGAAGTGGTTTCGTGGAAAACCACCCCCCCNCCCCAAAAAAAAAAACGATCATTGCTGGCAACAGGGTAAGGCCATGCCATTGCGCGACGAAGTTATAATCAAATTGGTTCTTGATATAAATCGAGTTAGAAAAGTTGTCCAGAATCAACACCAATCTGCCGTTTACCGTTAGCTACTGTTACAGACTCCAGGATGTTTAGCTGTCGTGCTGGGAACAGTTCCATGTAGTTCTAATAAACAAAGCCACTGATCGACTGTTAAAACCAAACCTTAATAAATGTATAAATGTAAGCTTGATATCACAGTTCCTTAGATGAAACAAATTCTATTTTTTTCCGCTGTACATCGTAACCAAACAAATTTCTTGGATTAACCTTATTATAACTGTTAAGAGTCCACTGAGTGTTGCTACCTGTACCTCCAGAGGTTTTTAATTTACAAACAAATAACTCTTGTACGCCTTGCGTGCCTATGTTTAATAACGAAGTCGTCGCATCAGCGCCGGCTTAGAGTTCTTCTCTGGTTTAGAGAAAATACGGTCTAAATAGCTTTTCCTCACAACCATAAACTAATCACTTGTTGAATAGGCTTGCCACCACCATTTTATGACATAAAATTTACTCGTGTTGCTTTCATCTTTTTTGAAAATTTTTACGGTGCCCGTTACATTTTTTCCTGTCACCTTCCAAGGAAGTCGCACTTTTGCGTCTCTCCCACTTTTTTTTTTTAATTACGATTTACTCCAATACAATACGAATACATTATGAATAATTAATGAATAATGGTGCACCACGCCATCTGCAGGTAAATGCTCACAGTCGGATTTCCGTGTAATTTTCTGCTAACAGCTAGTTCTTCAGTTGGAAGCCGTTGTAACAGTTAGTGGTTAGCGATATGATGCTATTCTGGTTTTCCTGGTTTTAGTACAGGTTCTTTAAAGTTGATTTGGTCAAAAGATGATAGATGAAAATCTGGAAAATCACCACAGCGAAGTTCAAATGTACGCGCGAACACATTCTGGGCCACGACTGGCTAATTAAAACCACCTGAAATTACGCGTGCGGGCAAAACTCGTGCTAAGGCGAGAGGGGTGAGTTCAGAGTTCGTAAAGTTCAAAACAGTCACGCACTTGGCCACGTAGGATAGCGTCCCGGGGTGGGGGGGGGGGGGG